TTTAACTCAATGTCCCAAAAGCACAATGAAATAGTCCACTAAATACATCTCTGCCCCAATAAACAGGACAATGATTTATTAGCCAACCAAATTATGGCTGTATTCTCTCATTCTATACCTCCGCTCAGGCCTGAGATAAAGGGATGAGATTGGTTGGTTAGGGTGGAAACAGCACAGCCACCCCCAATGGCAGGGTCCCAGGTGTGTGTGTGTGTCTGTGTGTGGTAGCCATTTAGAGCTTCTATGATCCAGTCTTTTCCTGATTCAGCCTGAGGTAAAACCACTTTATCTGTGAAAGAGGATGAGAATAACATGTCAGTCGTACTACACACATGAGAGACCTGCAGGAGTGTCAGACCACCGCGGGCACCACATACTTTACTGTAGTGTGTTGTGTAGTACAGACGTGTGTGTTGTGTGTTGTGTGTGTTGTGTGTGCGCGTGTTTGTAGAGCACAGGAACAGAGCCAAACACAAATATGTAGATACTAAGCTCACATGAAAGGATGTTGTGACCGATGGAAAGGAAATGTACAGTTATGAATATAACTATTGTTCCCTGAAGGAGGGAACGAGGTATAACATACTATGGAGAGTCAACAACCAATCGTATTCACCTGAAGAACTGAACGGGCCAATGGATGCTGAGCCCGCCCTCGGAAGCCCCGCCTTTCTGGTTATAAATACCGGGGCTTGCATTAATTTCCTCAATTCAGTACCGCTCTTCAGCGAGCCCAAACCCCTTGACGGCGTGGGGGCTAAATATGTTATACCTCGTTCCCTCCTTCAGGGAACAGTAGTTATATTCATAACTGTATGTTTCTTTTCAGTCGGTCACTCAGTATTACATACTATGGGGACATACAATCACTCCCCCAAGCCGGCTCAGAGGGTACCAAACTAGGAGGCCCACGGCAGCCCAAGCACAGACAGGTTCCACCGGCTCCAAAAAGGGGTTATAGAAGCCACCTCTTTCCTTAATACTTACCCGAGAAGCCTGAGCTGTCAGAGCCCCATATAGTGAACCAGAACCTGCTGCAACTTGGCTATGTGCACTGCCACGCTGCCACTGCAGTCCATAAACCCCACAGTTCCAAGAACAATACTTACCTTGCGAGCCTGACATTTCAAAGCTCCTACAAGGAACCGCATGTCCAAAACAACAGAACACCTGTCGTAACTTCGTAAAATGCAAACGCGCGCTACATAGCATCGACCTGAGTTGATGAACCACGGCTGCCCGAGGCTCAAACCCACAGAAAACCTGCAGTAACCTGGAAACTGTGTACTTGCGTGCTGCCACGGCATCCCAAGGCCCAAACCCACAGGGAACTGTGGTAGCCCGGATAAATTCTCAATCTGCACGCTACCTAACACCCACTACCGGACCCAGCCATAAGAACACTATGAGCTACACTGGGAGCAGTTACATCCAAGCAATAAACCTCACAAACAGAGAAGGTGAGAAAGGGAACAGCTTGAAAGCCAGGGACCTTTAAGACATAGGCATAACCTTGGGACCAAAAGCTGCATTAGGACTTAACATCCCTTTGGAGTCGCCAGGCGCGAACTCCAAACAGGAAGGGTGTACTGGTAGCGTGTGGAGATCCCCAACGTGCTTGGCCGATGCCAAGGGCTTGAGCAGGGCAGTCTTGTAGGAAAGGACCTTCAGGTCCACAGACTCCAATGGTTCAAACGGAGGCTCACACAGAGCGTCCAGGACCAAAGCCAGGTCTCAGGACACTGGTTCGGCAACCAGTAACTTGCTCTCATTGACCGAGCCACTTGGGAGCATTGTTTCCACAGTAAATGCTTGGGGAGGAGGGCCCCGAGAACAGGCCTCCTCCCCCGGACTCCAGCTAGGGTTTGCGAGGTCTGCTTCTTCCCCCGCGCCGTGGAAGAATCTGCTTTCACCCCGCTTTCCTTCGACCCAGCACAGAATCTGTGCCAAGACATCCGCAGCTGCCCAGAAGCACCAAGACGGTCAAAAATGACCTTGAAGCCGCCCCCTGGCTCGAGGCAACCCGCCTCTGGCCTGGACCCTTTCCTTCACACCTCGGGAACTGCCAAGCCTCCCCCGCGAAGGATTTTTGTGGGAAAAGGACCCGTAGAGCTGCGTCCTGTTTTGTTTCTCCTCGAAACAGGCCAGTAAGCACTCCATAGCCCAGCCAAATAACCTTGTTGGCGAAACTGGCTCATCCAAATACACCTGCCTGTCCCTCTCAGGAATCTGGGACAACGTCAACGAGAGGTGGCGCTGAGCCACCACCGTTGCTCCCATACTTTTCCCAACAGCCAGGATAGTACAGAGGGACAGACGCAGCACAAAGTCAGGCATAGCATGGATTTCGTCGAGAAGCTCTGAAACCGGCTTTCCCGCCTCCACGGTTTTATTCAGCTCCTGCAACAAATCAAAATGATACATCTGAAGCATTGTAACCATATTCAACGACCGTGCCACCACACCCTCAGCCTGGTACACTTTGTCCTGCTGATCCGACGAGACCTGGCACTGTTTATTTGTTATAATAATAATAATAATATATGCCATTTAGTTAGCACCGTGCTAGGATTAGCCCCCTTGTTAGCCTCTGGAGGAAGTATATTGCCAGCTTTCCATCTTTCGACAGTGTGTAAACGAGCCCCGCCTCCTCCATACCCTCTACATCAGGGATTGGCAACTTTGATGAGGGTGGGTGCCACAAAAAAATAGAACTCATTGTTCTGGCCCCTGTAGTTGGGTTTGAGTTCCTTTAGGCTATCGTGTAATTCCATTGTTGACCACTTGGGGGGCACTGTCCTGTGTTGATGTGTGTTAATATAATTATATAATAATATAATATAATATAATATAATAATAATAATATGCCATTTAGCAGACGCTTTTATCCAAAGCGACTTACAGTCATGTGTGCATACATTTTTACGTATGGGTGGTCCCGGGGATCGAACCCACTACCCTGGCGTTACAAGTGCCATGCTCTACCAAACGTGTTTCCCACAGGGGGCCAGTATGAAAAAAAAATGTATGCACTCACTAATTGTAAGTCGCTCTGGATAAGAGCGTCTGCTAAATGACTAAAATGTAAATGTAATGTAACCAATTGTACTATTATGTGTGTTTTTTCACGTTATTTGTAATTTATTCTGTACATAATGTTTCTGCCACCGTCTCTTATGACCAAAAAGAGCTTCTGGATATCAGGACAGCGATTACTCACCTCGTGGCCGAAGATTTTTTCTTCAACGAGTCGGACGCAAAGGATATCCTACAGACACCCGACAAGGCCCAAATCCCCGTCATTCGCATGAGAAAGAGACGGAGATATCGTGGACGTAGGTCGGGGTGCCTTGTAAGGATCCGATGGCGAGCGACTAAACTGCCTCTTCCATCAATCCTATTAGCCAATGTTCAATCATTTGAAAACAAATTGGACAACCTAAGATTAAGGTTATCCTACCAACGGGACATTAAAAACTGTAATATATTATGTTTCACCGAGTAGTGGCAGGATAGGCAGGATAGAACGGCTGACTCCGGTAAGACAAGGGGTGGCGGTCTGTGTATATTTGTAAACAACAGCTGTTATATAAAATCTAATACTAAGGAAGTCTCAAGGTGTTGCTCGCCGGAGGTAGAGTATCTCATGATAAGCTGTAGACCACACTATTTACCAAGAAAGTTTTCATCTATATTTTTCGTAGCTGTCTATTTACCACCACCACCTCAATGAGCTGTATAAGGCCATAAGCAAACAGGAAAACGCTCATCCAGAGGCAGCGCTCCTAGTGGCCGGGGACTTTAATGCAGGGAAACTTACATCCGTTCTACCTAATTTCTACCAGCATGTTAAATGTGCAACCAGAGGAAAAAAACCTCACCTTTACTCCACACACAGACACGCGTACAAAGCTCTCCCTCGCCATCCATTTGGCAAATCTGACCATAACTCTATCCTCCTGATTCCTGCTTATAAGCAAAAACTAAAGCAGGAAGCACAAGTGACTCGGTTAATAAAAAAGTGGTCAGATGACGCAGATGCTAAGCTACAGGACTGTTTTGCTAGCACAGACTGGAATATGTTCGGGGATTCTTCCGATAGCATTGAGGAGTACACCACATCAGTCACTGGCTTCATCAATAAGTGCATCGATGACGTCGTCCCCACAGTGACCGTACGTACATACCCCAACCAGAAGCCATGGATTACAGGCAACATCCGCACTGAGCTAAAGGGTAGAGCTGCCGCTTTCAAGGAGCGGGACTCTAACCCGGACGCTTATAAGAAATCCCGCTATGCCCTCCGACGAACCATCAAACAGGCAAAGAGTCAATACAGGACAAAGATTGAATCGTACTACACCGGCTCTGACGCTTGTTGGATGTGGCAGGGCTTGAAAACTATAACAGACTACAAATGGAAGCACAGCCGCGAGCTGCCCAGTGACACAAGCCTACCAGACGAGCTAAATCACTTCTATGCTCACTTCGAGGCAAGCAACACTGAAGCATGCATGAGAGCATCAGCTGTGCCGGATGACTATGTGATCACGCTCTCCGTAGCCGATGTGAGTAAGACTTTTAAGCAGGTCAACATTCACAAGGCCGCAGGGCCAGACGGATTACCAGGACGTGTACTCCGAGCATGCGCTGACCAACTGGCAAGTGTCTTCACTGACAATTTCAACATGTCCCTGACTGAGTCTGTAATACCAACATGTTTCAAGCAGACCACCATAGTCCCTGTGCCCAAGGACACTAAGATAACCTGCCTAAATGACTACCGACCCGTAGCAATCACGTATGTAGTCATGAAGTGCTTTGAAAGGCTGGTCATGGCTCACATCAACACCATTATCCCAGAAACCCTAGACCCACTCCAATTTGCATACCGCCCCAACAGATCCACAGATGATGCAATCTCTATTGCACTCCACACTGCCCTTTTCCATCTGGACAAGAGGAACACCTACGTGAGAATGCTGTTCATTGACTACAGC